CTTCCCAATCCAAGAATTGTCTCTCTAACTTCATTTAATTCAAACTTGCATTTAAACCATTGGTCTTTATCTATTGGCAGTTTTTGAAAAGAAACATTTTCAATATAAAACTTCCTTTGCCCCTCACCTGAGAAAGTATTTTGAAAATAATCTAGAAGGGTTTTTTCAATTCTTTCTACATCATTACTCTCTACTCCCTGAATTTTGAGCTTCCAGATGATATTTCCCCTTTTTCTAGAGTTTGTAAAAGAGTCTGGAATCAAGAAAACCAAACATGGCGAAAACCGGTAGGGGCACCATGAGTAAAAATGGAAATCAAAGGGCAAGTGTAACCTCGAAGTCACGAGTAAAGATACCCTAATAAAAGGAAATGGTGAAAACCACTCCAGTGGTGATACTCCTCCCAATGCAAGTTAAAGCCCAAAAGGGTGCTTGCACAAAAAAACAATAAGGAGCATCTAGATCTAGAAAACGATCTCAGCAGAAGGTACTTGGCACACCCCAACCCGGTCCTTCTCCACCACCTCAAAATCTATGGCCCCAGCGCTAAACATCACTCTACGGCCCTAGTGCCAAACATCACTCTCTGGCCCCAGCACCAAACAAAAACTCTGGCCCAAGCGCCACCTCAAAAACTTCGGCCCAAGCACCGGCATAAAAAATTCTAGCCTCAGCACTAAACAAAAAAAACTTTGGTCCCAACGCCAATAAAAAACTTCGCCCTCACTGCCAAACAAAAGAAAGTTCTCTAGCCCAAGTGCTAACACCTCAATACAAAATCTCAGGCCCAAGCGCCGACATCAAGAACTCTGGCCCAAGCGCAGACATCAAGAACTCTGGCCCAAGCCCCACCTCAAAATCTACGGCCCTAGTGCCAAACATCACTCTACGCCCCCAGCGCCAAACATCACTCTCTGGCCTCAAGGGCTACATCAATCTCCAGCCCCATCGCCAAAACCAAAAAAAAAACTCCAGCCCCAGCACCAAACAAAAAAAAAACTTTCGCCTCAACGGCAAACAAAAAAATCATGCCCCAACGCCAACAATAATCTGGCCCAAACGCCACCTCGAAAACTTCGACCCCAATGCCAAACATCACTCTTTGGCCCCAGCGCCAAACAAAAACTCCGGCCCTAGCGCCAAACAAAAACTTCAGCCCCAACGCTTTCTGAAAGTTCAATGCCTCTATTTTGGTCTCCTGTAGAATTAAAATCTCAGGTTTTTTAAATTTGTTTGGGATAAATAGATGGGGTAAAAATGGGTAAAGTTGGTCCAGGGGGTTAAAATATATAAACGATAAAATCACTATGCCGCAAGATAGGTTTTGAAACTTTGGATCTATGGAGAACCAAAACCTAAAAATAAAATATACAAAAATATTTTCTTCTATCTACAAACTCAGAATCCATTTTATTGGATAAATACTCCTTTTATTAATTTTAAATAACAAATGGAGTATTTGGATGAAAAAGCTCAAATCGTCCGTACTGGCAGTTACTCCAATATTAAACCCGTCTAGTAGTACTCTTTGGATCCGTTACGTAATTATAATATTTCAAGTATTTAAAATTGTAATATAGAAATTTTGAATTCCTTATTTATACATATTAGATGATTTCACTTGATCATGTTATTATAAAATGTATAGATATATTTTATATCAAATAAACTTATGCAGAAGTATTAAGTGAACACCAATTTGCTAAGATCTTTTTTCCATCAAATAATTTCTTAAGCACGAATTAAAATAAGAGGATCTAAACTGAAAACTCAAAATATGTGCGGAGCACGTACCCTTCACTAATATATACAGAGAAAGAGAGTACATGAATCTCCCAGCTAACCTCGCCAAAACAAAAAGACAGATAGAGAGGGGGAAAGCACGAATCTCCAGGCTAACGTCACCAAAAGGTGGAGGTGAGGCGTGTTGTCTATTTTAGGTAACTGTTGGTGTTATCCGGATCATTTTGAGTGAGTGTGTGTGAGAGAGAAGAATCTGATTATTGGCTCGGGGTGACTTGATCCAACCTTGATCGTAGTTTTATTGGTTGCACCCAGTATAAAACAATTACTCTGGGACGGGACTTGGCCATGCCCAAGCCAAGTAACCGGGGCTCAGTCTTGACAAGCGAAAAATTGTTAAAAAATAAAAAAATATTAAAGTTAATCTAAAAAAAGACCTAAGAGTAGAATTTAAAAAGACACATATAAATGAGGTTAAAAAGTAGTAAAAAATAGGTTTTGAAAAAATTAACTTGTGACATGGGTAATTTAGAAACAATCCAAAGGAAGGAAAAATATAAAATAAGCAATGATGGCCAAAACACTTTTCAATCTTTGCCAAAATGATAGAAAACATACAAAAAAATATATTATTTATAAGTTTTTTATTTTTTTCTAAGATCCTCAAATCAGACAACCCAACTTGAGGATACTCAGGCTCACCATGGTGGCGAGTCCAAATTAGCTCACCTGAGTAATCAAACAGGGGTTGCAACTGATTGATGGTTAAGATCGTGGAATGAAGAGTAACAACTCTTCATCTAACGGGAGCACATTGGGTGATGGGTAAAAATAGAGTTTCTCGCTCTATAATAGGAACTTGTTTTCCACCATTGTGAAGAAGTTCTCTACTGTTTTAGAGTATTTACGAATTTTCTTTCACTAGAAAATAAGCAACTCTAATAGTCTAGATCTCATAATACTTGTGTATTTGTATCGTTATTATAGTTTACAATCATCTGCTTTCTTATACTCCGAGGACAAGATTGTTTGGTAAACTTATATGTACATATATTCATATCAATAAGGGGCAAATATTGTATTGTTTTGTGAGAGTGATATTTTATGCCTGAGAATAAGAGAGATTACAGTTCCTACCTACTCTTCAGAAATTACCTCAGCCAATGCGAGTTACAAGGCCAAGAATGAGTCGATTCGATTGAGTCATGTATAGTTCCAAAAGCCCTAGATTTGGTCCAATTATGTACAATGCCAAAAGCCCGAGATAAATTAAAAAAATCTGAAATTTTTTTAAAATAAAATAAAGCTACTAAATCTTAAATAAAATCAAAGACAACCATAAAATCTCCAAACAAGCTTTAAAAAGCATAGAAAAACACTTTATGGCACTTTTAAAGAATTGATTTATGGTTGGTGACATTTTAAAAATTCAAAAAATTAATAAAAAATAGATGTTATTCCAAAAAAACACTTGCCTATCTTTTCCATAAACATCCAAATTATAACAATCCCACAATTTTTATGACCCAAAGATCGTATCTGAGTTCGATCGACTCGAATCTCACGGGCTTCAGGTCGAATTTGGGTCCACCATTCACCTTCTCGGGTCGAACCTTATGGAGAACCAATCCAACCTATTTACCTCTTTGGTTTGATTCGAATGGATAATTTTTTGCATGTTGCACGAATATATCGTTGCGTGAAATGGTATGTATCATATGATAAATAATATGTTATATGATATATGTTATATGTAACATTACATGCATAATATGGTATGTATAGTATGATGCGTATATTATATGATCCATTATATGATATATGTTACATGTGATATTAGATGGTAGGATATTGTATATTTATATTTTATTATATAATGATATTTATTGAGTTGATCCTGTTATATGATATACATGTTCATTCCACATAACAACGTTTTCTTGCAAATCGTGTCATTCAATAATTATATTTAGGGAAAGATTTCTATGTTCCCTACAACATAGAAGTTCTATCCTCTTCTTTATCCAACCGTCCATTTTTGAACGGAGGGTTAAGATTGTCTCAATCGCAATGTCACGTCTTTACACTATTTTATTTTTAATTTTTTTTTTATAAACTATTTTGATACCAAATTTTGGACGTCCATTCCTCTATTAAACTCGTACTAACAAAAAATATAAAGAAATATTTTAGATAAAAAATAATGACCAAAATACCTCTGAAAGTTTCAAGAGGTATTTTGGTCATCATTGTTTATCGAAAAATTATTGTTAATATTTTTTATAGGTGCGCCCCAATGAGAAGATAGCACGTACTAAATTTCATATCCAGAAAATTTGTATTAAAAAAAACTAAAAATAAAATACTTTGAGACGTCGGATCTAAGATCAAACGATAAATGACTCTCTTGATAAAAAAATGGACGGCTGGATGGTAAGAGGATGATATAACTTCTATGTTGTAGAAAGAATATAGAAAGCTTTCCTTTATACTTATTCCTTATCTTTAATTTTTTTTATTATACTAGCAGAGAACACATGGTGCACACATGATTTGAATGGACCCAAATATTGTACTTTGTTTCATTTTTTTAAATTTTTTCCTCACTCCAATGAAAACACAAAATGACAAAACCAATTGATGATTTCATCCCATATATATATATATATATATAGAATAGCTCTGTCTGCTATATATATATATAATAGTTCTGTCTTCTTGAAGTCTTGAGGTCAGGGGTGGTGGTTGAAACGGAAAATACGAGATGTATGAAACTAAAAAAAAGGATATCCTGCACAAATGTGGTTGCTCCTTCTCTACACCTTAGCCTTGCAGCTAAGCTATTAAGTAATTTTTTTTTTTTTGTTCTTTATTTTTTATGTTTTGTTCACCAAAGCGAAGGCACAAAGCGTACCCATTTTGAAACCGATTCCGTTCCGATCTTACTAATTTCCATCCCAATCAACGATCTTAAATGAAAATATTCGGATCTTAAAACAGTAGATGAACCATTAAACGGGTAAGAAAACCTAAATTAGCCGAAATGCTCTCCAAAAACCGTGGTGTAGGAGGAAGACGTGGCGTTGAAGACTTGAGGCCTAGTGTCCCTATTTTCAACTAAACGCGCCAACACCACGAACCAGGTTCACCACACGTACAGTCTCATTCACACGTGTCGAATATGAAGGGTTTACTCCTCACTTTTGCGTGCATATAATGCATCCAATTGTCGGAGATTTGCAGGCAACAAAGCAAGAGAGAGATGAAGGCCTCTTTTGTGGAGGGAAAGGAGTTGAGGCAGGGGTTCAGGCTGGTAAGCGGGCATACAATCCCAGCCGTTGGTTTGGGGACATGGAAGTCTGGCTCGGATGCTACTCAATCGGTTTTTACATCCATTGTTCAAGTAATCCTCCACTTCATTTTTGTTTTCGAAGCTACCTCTCATCACTCAAATACATTTGTGCTTGTTACCTTGAACAATGCGGCGAGGCAATCTCGGCCGGCCTGGTCGGATTATGCGGAACCGGCTACTCGCGTTTTGCCTCATTAGGGTGGACCCTTAATTAAACAAAACATAACAAATTTTATTTGTAATAGATTTGTTTTTATTTTTAAGAAAAGTTGGGGAAGCATTTTGGTCATAAATACTTAATTTTATTTTTTTCCAATTTTTTGGATTATTTTTAAAACAAATTGATTTTGTAAAATCTATTTTTCAGTGTTTTTTAATCTTACATGTACTTTGTTTAATTATATTTAATGAGAGTTTCTGACTTCTTTTTAGAGTTTTTAACTCTTTGTAGCTTGGCACGACATGCCCGGTTAGGCTGGTTACCGGACTGGTTCCGGGTTACTCGGACCCAGCTCATGGCGAGATTGATTCCGAGGCTGGTCCGTGTAATCGAACACGGGCCCTGAGTTTGTATTTTTATATGCAAAGGTTTGGAGTAAGATAGTGTAGTACTACTATAAACACGCCCAGGTTTGTAGTAATGTAAAATCTACTACTTCTATAGTGCAAGGAGATCAGGCTTACTAGCACTGAGCTAGAGGCGAAGTTGAGTTTGACGTCGGGCGCGGTTAGCATGCGGCTAGCCCGCATGCTGGCTGCATTTCTACAAAATGCAAGCACGGCAATGAATACATTTTTTAAATATAATTTGACTATAATTTCGAGAGAATATATAATCTTTAACATAAAGATCGTGAATACAAAAATATAGAAATTTTGAAAACTAAAAATAATAATTATATTAAACAAACATTTAGATCGCCTATTACAATTGTTTTTAGATAGACCACCGATTTGCATCCATCTTGCTTTATACCTCCGGGCCGTATGTTGTAGAAATGCAGTCCAGCCCGCATAAAACAATCGTTCTTAAATGTTTTATTCTTTTTCTATTGCTTTTGAACTTCTTGATGATCGTTTCCATTTTCAGTGTGGGTACCGACACGTGGACACAGCTGCTGAGTATGGTGTTCAAGAAGAGGTCAGACGCTTGGTTTCATTTTGAACTGACTTCCATATTATTGATGCATGTGACTACGGCTGGCAATGGCCCGGGCCTGAACGGTCCTAATCCTGAAGGCCCAGCCCTACTCAATGTCAAACCGGTTGTTGCCCAGGCCTTAGTTTCTTAAGGCTTTGGCCAATAGGGGCTGGCCTGGTGGGCCATTCCCACCCTTACATGTCGGGCAGGGCAGCTGGCTAGGCTATTGGGCCATGGGCCATGGGCCATAGGCTGGGATTTAAATCCATTAGCTTTATATATTTTTGAGAAATTTATTGAACCCATGAGATGAAGTGTTTCAACAGAGAAATTTATTCACCTCATGAGATGAATTGTTTTAACATATCTTTTGAAGTTTCAAAATACTCAAATCAAAACATTATGATCTTAGAATAGTTGCAAATCTGTAAAATGTCGAATGGTAAGAAGTTTCCTATATCTTTTGAGCATTTCGTGCATACATATATAGCATAAAGTTTTACAGCAGTTCAATCTCTTATTCATATCCAGGTAGGACATGGATTGAAGGCTGCAATCCACGCAGGTGTTGAGAGGAGAGATCTCTTCATTACCTCAAAAATCTGGTAATACTCATCATCAAAACGCATTTGATCAGAAATTTTGAGTTGTTGGGAAATGTCAAGATTTCATAGCCAAATAACCTGCATATGTTTGCTTGGAACAAAAGGTAGATGTAACAAATGTACAAAGTGCAAAAAAAATGTAACCAACAATTGTTACAAGGCCCTGAGGTATAGGTATATAAGTAACTCATTACAAGGCTCTGGGATGGTGTTTGAATCTCATGTTGATATTGAAGAATAAAGGTACCTTTCAAGTTTCTCTAGAAATCAAGATGAAAATCATTTGTCTTTTGGTAGTTCAGTAGTAGAAATCGAACTTGAGATGTAATGCTGCTAAATATCAGCTGCTAACCTCTCAAACCCAAGCCCGATTACCCGAACCTTTTCTCCCATTGGAAACTGCATTTTTGCATGGTTTAGAAGACACCAGGATGAATTATTTTAATTTTGAACATTTGTCCCTCATTAAAGAGAATGTGATTGTCATCTATCTCTTACAGGTGCACGGATCTTTCACCTGACCGGGTTCGAAAGGCTCTAAATAAGACTCTAGAAGAACTACAACTTGATTATCTTGACCTCTACCTGGTAAATTCATCTCTCTTGACCTCTACCTGGTATATTCATCTCTCTCTCTCTCTACCTGGTATATTCATCTCTCTCTCTCTCTCTCTCTCTCTCTGTTAACCATATTTTCGGGTTTGATCTTGGAAAAAGATTCATTGGCCGTTCCACCTGAGGGATGGCGCAACACGGCCTTCGAAGCCTTCGGATATTCTTGAGTTCGATATGGAAGGGGTGTGGGGAGAGATGGAGCTGCTTGTTAGAGACAAGTTGGTTAGAGATATTGGAGTTTGCAACTATACCGTGAGGAAACTTGATAAACTTTTGAGGTTTGCCAAGATCATGCCTTCTGTATGCCAGGTCTTCCCTCCCTCCCTCCCTGCCTCCCTCTCTCTCTTGCATTTCGAGTTATTTTTTGTCTTTTTGAGATTAACATGTAGTTAATAAGAAAATTGTTGCTGCTATTACTACAAAACTCAATTCCTATCTTCAATAGAAGTACACAATCACAATTATCAGTACGAGACTCTGTAGTGAAAATTGTGCTTTAGCCATTGCACCTTCACTTGGTTGCTTTTCTTAAGAACATGAGCAAATATAATCTCTTTCCTCCAACTGCTCACATCTCTTAGCTATAAGCTTTAGCTTTCACGGTAGAACTTGCTCTTGCCCCATTTTATAGCATTTAGGGAGTCTTGTTGGGTTTGGTGATAGCTAAATCACCATACTCATATTTTCTTCTAAAGATTAGGGTATTATGGAAAATAAAAAATTGATTTTCTTGAGAAGCAAGAAAGTGAGATTTTTATCAGATAGTGAAGGAGGACATAATAACGAGGGTCACCCCTTGGAGGTTATGGGAATGGATCTCCAATATGGAGATGGGTCTCCAAGAGAGAGACGGCTTTCGAGAAAGAGGCGGTATTCCCATGAGTTTTGGGTGGTTAACTTTCATTTCTGTGGAGAGAGTCTCTCGGTTGCTCTCAAGGTTATCTTTCTGGTAGCTGTATTGCGGTGGGAAAGAGGATGCTGATCGACGGTGATGCTCGGTTAGGAGAACAGGTTTAGAAAGAAAGATCGGTGATGGTCTTTCACCGATGTTTAAAGATAGGCTTGTAACTAAAAATTGTAATCTTCATTGTGATAGTGGATTTCTAGTTGCCGAGGCAGTGGATGTAACCCTACAGGGTGGATCACGTAAATCATGTGTTATTGTGGCGTATTTTTTATGTTTGCTTTATTTCTCGCACTCGATTTATAGTTGTATTTATCTACTTCACATTTGGCCAATTGAGTACACGATCTTGGGTGGGATCCCGATATTTGGGATTCCAGGTTCCACAAGCTAAGGGGTTCACGAGAACCTTACAATTGGTATCAGAGCACAAGGTATGTACGGGGCTAAGGTTTATATTAAAACAAAGAGGAGTGACGAAGTTTTACGGATACATAGTTTGAGGTGGAGAAATATGGAAGCAAAGTGTTTGTAAAAATTCTACAATGGAGGCAAGTGATAAAAAATCAAGAAATATCCATGGTTTGAGGTAGAGATATATGAAGACAAAGTGTTTGTAAAAATTCCACAATGAAGGCAAGCATGAAGAAATCTAGTCAATGAAAGTTGTCAAGGGAATTATGGTGATTTTTTATCAAGGTGGAGATTGTTGGGTTTAGTGATAACTAAATCACCATACCCATATTTTCTTCTAAAGATTAGGGAATTATGAGAAATAGAAAATTGACCTTCTTGGGAAGCAACAAAGTGATATCTTTATAAGAGAGTGAAATATGACATAATACCCATCCTTTGAGGGTCACCCCTTTGGGGGTTATGGGAATGGATCTCCAATATGGAGATGGGTCTCTAAAAGAGAGAGAGACGGCTTCCGAGAGAGGGACGGTATTCCTATGAATTTTGGGTTAACTTTCACTTCTGGAGAGAGAGTCTCTCGGTTGCTTTCAAGGTTATCATTTCAGGAGTGGTGTTGAGGTGGGAAAGATGATGTTGATCGGCTGTGTTGCTCGGTCAGGAGAGCGAATTTAGAAGGGAAGAACGGTGATGGTCTTTTACTGATGTTTAGAGATAGATATTATCTCTTGTAATCCAGAACTGTAATCTTCATTGTGACTGTAATTCTAGTTGCTGAGGCCGTGGATGTAGCCCTACGAGGTGAACCATGTAAATCATGTGTTGTTGTGGTGTGTTTTTTATGTTTGCTTTATTTCTCGTACTTGATTTATTGTTGTATTCATCTACTTCCCATTTGGTCAATTGAGTTCATGATCTTGGGTGGGATCCTGGTATTTAGGATTCCCGTTTTTGCAACCTAAAGGGTTCTCGGGATCCCTACAATCCCCTTTCATCAACACCTTACTATGTTCATGAAAGAATAACTTCATGTCTTGAAATACAATAGCTATATGAGGTTTGTTTGCCTTTCCAGTATTGCAGTGGCTTTGAGAACGTTAATAGAACTACTCCAGTATCATCTCCAGTCAACCCACGCATCCGAGCTGAGCCTGGATTCCCGACGGAGTAGGTTCAATGGAAATCTAGTTTTACTCTTTGGACTTGATCTTTCTGAAGTGATTCTTAAGACATCTGTCTCAGATAATTTGCAAAATCCCCCCTTGCATATCCCTTAACTGGTAGTTTTCTAACCACGTGACATTCAAGAGATAAATGGTTAAGAGTTATCTTCATTTTTAGCAGATGAATTGTAAGCAGTGTATTTGCAGTTCTTCGTAGATTGCGGCCAAGGCCAAAGTTGCAGAGGGACTGACATCTTCCATATATTTAGGCATAGTGCGTGGCTCCAACTCACTTTATGGTGAAAAAATAAACCATCAGGAGTCGCCTCCCATAAAGCCCGGTCTTCTTTAATGGGTCAGTAGTAGACTCTTTAAAACTTATTGAGCAACTGAGTTAGCTTCGAGATGACACTGCCTGCTATGCATATTTACCGGCAATCAAGAGTCTACCGCCTTTTACCCTTTCCACTCGACTCCCAAATCAGCACATTTAAGTTTTAACACTTTCCTACATAGTCAACTTCAGAGGTGTATCTCTTGACCATTTATGTGACGGACTGAATTTCGTCATGTTTACCAAGGTAGCTGGTGTTCCTTTGAGAAATAGATCTCACTTAAAATTCCCTTCTACAGAGGAGAGTTTGCGCCCTGAGCAACCCTGACAGTTTAATTGCTGTCTTCATTTATATCATGTTTGTCCAAACACTTTTTGCCACCATTTCTCCCTCTTGGCTATTCGCCACCTTTGGTGAGGGGTTGTCATCATTAATTTTCTTCCTTATTGTCCTCTTTTGGGTATACAGATTATGTTCCAATCACTCAGTGTGGTATTTCTCTGTATCCCCTGAAATTCACCACTGAAATTTTTCGTCATTCCCTTAGTAATTTTACAATTGAGCTGGGCATGCACATTTAGGACATGAAGTGTACTGGTAATTTTGGTCGAATTGACTTGAGTCGATTTTCCACCAAGTGAGGGATATTTGCTTTTCTGGGTTGTAACTTCATTTTTAACCTCGTTGAACTTCATTTTGAAACGGCCTTATTGGATCCCATAACAATCTCCTCATTGAACTCCATCTGAACCGTCTTTATTGGATCCCATAAAGATCTCCCAACACTATTACTTTCCACCAAGTGATGGATATCTGCCTTTCTAGGTTGAAACTTCATTCGAGACATCTTTATTGGATGGCATAATGATCTCACAATACTCGTATCTGATATTACGGAGATATAGGTTCCCATTCCATACTGCAGTATATTAGCCATTCTCATAACATGAGAGTTTTTCTTGACTACTTATTTCGGACTACTGGTATTTTGCATATTCATTTTTAAATGTCACAACCATATAGCATTTTAAAAATCGTATCAAACTCTATATTTTGTACACTCACGTCTAGCAAGTTTAGAGCCTGAAATCAACCCTGCACCACACACTTTTAAAACCATGCACCAAGCACTTTTAAAGCCTGAAATCAACCCTGCACTGCACAGTTCCAATGTTGTGCTGGAAGTTTCAGCCACCAGGGTAGATAAAGGGGAGCGTGAATCTCTAGTTGCTTGAAAATACTATTTGGTCTTCCATTTATGATAATAGAAAAATGAGCACTATTAAGGCACCTCATTATCCATCACCTTCTACTGTAAAAGGTCGTTTTATACATCACTCTAGCTAAGAGTCCATTAACATTAGGCAGAGCTGCTGTGTCCTAAAGCCAAATTCTTAGCGATAATCTTTTATGAACTTGTAAGCATCTAATGGGCCATTATTATTTGGGCTTTTGATAACTTTATCTTGGCGGTTGGGCTAAAAAGTGGAGCCTTTATCGATTTTTCCTGTGTGGAAAACTTCATGCACCATTAGGATAAATTCAGCTTTCACTTTGTCAGCAATTGTTATGAAAGAATCCTAGTGGGAGGCCATCTGAAGCCGGTGCTATATCCCCAGCTGAACCCATTACTCTCTTTAATTTTGTGCTCAGAGGATGTCCAATCTAGCCGGCTTCTTTTCTTCATCAGACAACCTATTAGATCATACCTGTTTAATGTTGGTTATCTGCCTTATTCCACTAAAAAATGCTCTTTTGAGATGATCTGCTATTTACTTATTCAACTACAAGTTTTATCATTTTCATCTCCCCCAGAATTATGAGGTGTTCTATAGAATTCGCTCTTATACTGAGATAGGAATAGCATGGAAAACATTGGTTTCGTCATCCCCTTCTTTCGACCATCAAACTGCAAACCGTTTCGACCATCTAGCTACATACCTCTCTCCCCTCCCTCTATCTCTCTCTTTCTCTCTTTCTCTCTCCCCCCTCCCTCCCGTCCTCTTATTTGAAACTACCTAGGTTATAAGGGTTCTCTCTTGTTTTAATTGGTCCAATTTGTGGGACTGTTTGGTGGTGGTTGTAGATGGAGATGCACCCCGGTTGGAGAAATGATAAAATGCTGAATGCTTGCAAGAAGAACAAGATTCATATTACGGTATGTGGAAATGAGTAGCTTCCTTATAAATCCACAAATAAATTTTAGGTGTTTAATATATTTTATTAAGGTTTCTTTGGAAATCTTTGTTTCCTTGATGAAAATTTGAAGCTGGTTTTCCTTTGTTTTATTTCCCCTTTTTCTTTACTTGGTGCCACAGGCGTACGCACCGTTGGGATCGGGTGACTGGGATCTTATCCATCATCCAACAGTTCAGAAGGTGAGTTATAACATCTCGAGGACTTGTCTTTTTTCAAACCATGTCTCTCATTTCATTTCATTATTTAGTAGCTATCTCTTGATTTTGCTCTGTGTGCAATATTCTTTTCTTCTTTGCCTGTACCCTCTTCTCTTGTGACTTCATGTCAAATTTTGTGCCCTGGCCTTTTGATAGAAGGATATTACCTAGGAGGCATGTCTACAAAGGGTTTGGATTTGCTTGGAGGGCATACAATTGATCGATAATATTCCCGGTAACCTATAAGGCATTTGGGTCCTAAAACACCAGGAATGGTGCATTTTAATAAATTGGACCTTACTACATTGAATATTTAAATGGCCTTCCTTATAATTCAGCCACTACTTTCATTTGGCATCGATGATATGACTATCAAAATTAAGGGCCAGGTCTAGTAGGTGAATTTGAGTCATATTGCACTGAAGTTTTACGATTCTTCTCTTAAATTTGGTTCTCTTCCTTTAATTTTTGAGCAGGTTGCAAATAAACTTAACAAGACTTCCGGGCAAGTATTAGTGAGGTGGGCTATTCAAAGACGTACTAGTGTCATCCCGAAGTCGACACATACAGAGAGGATCAAAGAAAACATTCAAGCATTTGGATGGGAGATTCCTGATAGAGACTTTGAAGAACTTTGTAGCATTCTTGACCAGGTGAAGCTCACTACTTTCCTTTTTTTATTGTTTTTTGGGTAGTTAATGCCTTCTTACTTAATGGTGGGTTTTCTGTTGTCTGTAGCTTTTTCATGCCATCTAGGTCTCTCTATATTTTTTATATATGGGTATCAATGAAAGTCTTTCATTATCATTTACTTGGAAACATCAATAAAAATTTCATCCAAAATGTAATTCTAAGTTGTTTTTCTGTTTCTTTGGAAACATTTTTGAGTTGTGTTTTGATTTGGCAGTCTAGCCTAAGTCCCTGCATGACTGGACAAAAAAATTGCTTATTTTTAATACAAAGAGGGCTCAATCACCAGTGGTCATTAGGCGTGAAATCAGATGGCTTGTGTAGTTGATTGAAATAAATATTTCTTCAACTTGTGATGATTTTTTATTGGATGGCTAAAGGCTACTAAGTTGTGATGATTTTTTATTGGATGGTTAAAGGCCATGTTGACCTCTACTATTAAACGTGAATGGTTAGGTGGTCAATTGATCATCTTGATACCGAGATGTATGGTATGGTTATAGGAAAAAAAAAAAAAAAATGATTTCAAGTTCTAAAAGTAGTACGTTTTGCAATATATTATCTTCACCTTTATTTTTTAAATATTTTTATGCATTTATTTGCATTATTTTTAGAGTTTCAAATTTTATAGTTAGATAAATAGATTTTGGGGCAATTCCAAAAAAATTTGACACCAAAAGGACGTGACAAAGTATTGGAGGTGTGCTTGTTTAAGATTGCAAACTCGTGTAAATCTCACCTTTTTAAGATGAATTTTACATCTACTTGATGCATCTCTTGCTTGAAAAGCAAAATGAAGGTTGGCATTAAGCCTGTTCATGTGGTTTTGTTTGTGCAGAGGAGGGTGATCACTGGAGAGGAGTTGTTCGTGAATAAGGAAGAAGGTCCCTTCAAAAGTGTAGAGGAGCTATGGGAATTCGAAGACTAGAATAGACAATCAGATTTATGCTGGTGCTTCTTGGCACTAGGGTTCGCTAGTTTTGACTTGTCCTGTATAGATGTGGTCCACATTGTAGTATTAAGGGCTCTCACCCGGTAATGTGTTTTTCCAAGGTAATGTGGAAGGAATAATGTACTTTTCCTAGGGAATGGGGAAGGCCGTTTGTTCAACCACTTTATCTGGTGATAGCTATGTTTGTAATTGGGTATTACATTAACTAATCAGATCCATTGGTGAATTTTCCTTTGCATTTGGCAACTAGTACGATGATTTAATAATTTTTAAAAAATTTCTCATGACATCTACGAGAGATACGAGTGCGTTTGTTTTTTTCTATTATTTGGTATCGGCAACATGAATTTTGGTTTGATCTGATTTGCTATTCTGCCCTATGGCCATTTGTAGGCAGGCCTCCAAAACCAAGATGGAGGGTAGGAAGAGAGAGATCATGTGCCGTGTCCTGATGGATAATAGGAAAAGGACAGAACACGCGGTGTGTAAGAGGAGGTTAGTAAGGCCGAGCAACGCTCGCCCTAGGCTGGGGCAGTCTTGGTCCGGCTTTCCCTTGTCCTCATGGACATGGCTCCGCAAAATATAGGGCCTGATTCGGGTCAAAAAATAAAAGCCCGGCGGAGCTGGGCCAAACTGGCCTTAGCTCCACCACAATGCTAATAACCTAGGCTTTACTTTTCTGGCCGGACAGGACAGGGCTGTGCGGCCATTGCCATTGCCAACCGTTCGATGAAATCGTGTTTCGATGGAAATAGTGTTTTAAAAAGCCGTGATTGAGTTGCATTCACCAGTTGGGCGGCATGTTAAGAAAGACGATAGAAAACAAATGGTAGGTTAAAATGGGGAGAATTTGGGGTTGTCGAGCGGGGGCTTCTTATTCAATGGAGATAGGTTTCTTCTTGTTTCTATAGGGTTCTGCACACTCTGGATATTGCATTCTTTCCAACTTCATGGGAAAAATACATCTAAAGGTTTAGTCATCTTACAGAGTCACGCGTTTGGATGTCAAATAGAAAAGGGAAAATATTTCTTTCCAACTTCATGGGAAAAATACATCTAAAGGTTTAGTCATCTTACAGAGTCACGCGTTTGGATGTCAACTAAAAAAGGGAAAATATCGTATGGAGACTCAAACACTGCTTTTTTTAAAGGGGTATTATATTTTGGAAAATTGTTGATGCGGGTTGAATTCCATTTTTACATACATAGTCTAGAAAATGTAAACCATCCATCTTAAAGATATGGATGTACGTAGGTGTTCCATCTAAAAATAATGGAAACTAACGGTCGGAATGTTTTTTTACTGGAATTATTATTTGTAGTTTTAAAATTTATTTATTTATATTCATGATCTCATGTCTTTAAAAATTAAGTCTTAAAATCCATCCAAAAAATAGATTTATTAAGAGGCTCACGTTTCTACGCATGCAGGTTTGGCTGGATAAAAACTGGGTCCTTACATTTTTCAAAAGACTATCAACGAATCTCTTTATCTTTTTTTTTTTTTCTTTTTTTTTTTTCTTACAAAATTTGTTGACATCAACATTTTCTCTTACCATTTAAGAATATTCTCTTATCCCATTTTTACTTCATGTAGTATAGAAGCAATTGTTGATGTGAAACTTAATGTACAAAAGTAGCAAAAGAGAGGATGGAGGGGATGAGAGGTCTACAACATTTGCTGAATCTTTTAGGATGAAGTTATCATAAGGTGGTTTGATAATCTTCTACCTTCCATATGTCAGTGATACATTTATTTTTTAAGAAGATTATTAGATGAATTTTTGGGCTATTTTTGAAGTGGTTATAGGATTGCGAGTAACTTTGTGAAAAACTAAACACATGTGGGTTGGATGTGATCCCAGTCAGCTCAAACCACTTACAGGAACGATGTTTTTGTAAGGGTCTAATCCGTTAGCTAAATTAAGTGAGATGCTCTCATATGAGTAGAGAAAGGTGGAAAGCTTTATGCAGTTTATCTACAAAGCAGTCTTACTACTCTCCTTAGCGATGTGATCAATATATATATGGTAGTTAATGTGGGCTCCTAGTTAGCTTACTATGGGAGTACTCAAAATGTTATAGGAAGTACTCAGAATGATATTTGACAAAATACCTATAATTTACCTCAGTTTTTGGAAACTACCTTTTCTTTTCAAGAGGCAAGCTTTTCGCTGGTTGATAAGACCATTGAAACTGCTCACCATAAACAATATAAGAAGAAGACATGTAATAATAACTAATGAAAGCTTTTGTTGTGTTAAAATAGTTATGAATATACGGCCGTTGGAATTGTGGCTATTTAAGGCCTGGATACTGGGATTTTTTTTTTTTTTTTTGTTAGTTCTTGGTCACAGTTGGAGAGAGAGAGAAATGTGATTTGTGGGATTTGTGTGAATTGGGATCCAACGTTGGTATTCATGGTCACGAACTCCAGATTATAAGGCCTAGTTTAAGGGGTATTATTTCGAAATTGTTTAATGGTTTCCTTGGTTAGGGTCGGTGAGACTACCTTATGACCGGTTTGAGCCAAGGTGTGATGTTTCGATTTATGTGCATGATTGGATATGGATTGAGAATTGTACGTGTGGGATTTTGTATGTTGAGCCATGTGTGAGAAGGAGGGAATCTGAAAAAACATCAGCCAAATTCCAGACAATGATTTTACTCATGTGCATATGATAGTAGCAAAGTGAGGTGCTGCTCTCATTCAGGAAGATCCACTGAGGTGAGACTGTATGTTCTCAGGCGGTGACATGCAATCAGCTATAAATCCAAGACCTAGTCACCTATTTGGGTTAGCTTTCATGAGACAAGCATGAATCCCTACCAGAGACTGTGGGTCATGGATTTCGTTGGGCTAATTTTGATAAAGGGATCGGGGGTTATGGATCTAGCTGACAAGAGTGCTCAAACAGTTGAGAATAACTCCTTAAGGATAGTAATTCCTACAAGGGAAATTTTCTATGTCCAATAATTATTGAGAAATGTCAAGAAATACAAGAAATAATTTTTGAAATTTTTTATTTATTTGGAATTTTTAAAGGCAAAATTCTCTCAAAATAAATTATTTTGAAAATTTCCACCCAAAAACAGCTCCCCTTAGAGCATAAATAGCTGGCCCCAAAGGGAGTCTCCACGCAGCTAATAATATCAACCTTTCATAAGCCTAGTGGCTAATATGTGGGTGACATCAGCCACAAAGGTGGGACACCCTCCTCTCTTCTCTCTTTAGGATATGTTAAGATTTTTTGTTTATCGTTGTTATCAGGAATTGGCATGTGTGGGGGCTAGACATTTTCATTCTTGATTTTTTCCTTAAATTATGTACTTTAAACCGATTAGAACCTAGATCTAAACGGCATTGTTTAATGTTGATCTCTCATTGCTCACATATATGAATAGAAAACAAAGTATGTCATATGACACAAAGTACGCCTTATGACGCACCACACACAAAGTAGTCTTATAACACACCGCACACAAAATACGTCTTATAACACACCACATGCATGAAGGGGATGAGGCGTTGATAGAGAAAACATCTTTATTTCAAATTCAAATTGGTTTTAGAGAGAAAAACAGTTTTGTAGAGAATTGAGAGGTACTGTCCTTTCTCTTCACACACTATTAAAAAAACAAATGCCATTGTGAGATTAGTTTTTTGGAATTATTGAATTAATTTAATTTAAAAATTTTGGAGTTGTGTTCGCAGATAGGGGATAAAGGTTGTGAGTTACAGCCACATATCTATGATAGCTAGAAGTGAGGCTTGATGGCTAAGTTCTTGCCTCTCACCATGGCTTCTATGTTCAGTATTAGTGGTCTAGATTCAATCCATGCACATCTCTTTAATATCTTACCTTGGTGGCCCTATATATATAGTTTCATGTGATCTTTTTTGTGATGATATGAGGTTAGGATTGATGGATTATGCTTCTGTTTAAATTGGTTTGAGTTTAGACCACTTGCATCTATATCGGCTTGAACAATCAAAAGGGTTGTTATTATAGGACTCCGAAAGGGATGATCCTATGTATTGGTATTAATTACAATACAGATCTTTTTATTACACATTTTTAAATTGTTGTGAATCGATCCCAAGTTGAAGAAAGACATATGAGTCTTGTCAAATAAATAGCCCTGCTTACCTAGACCACATACGATTTCAAAAGGCCAAAAAACCCATGACTAGCAAGTTTCACTATGTTTTTAATGATCCAACTGAGCCTGAAATAGTGCAGTCTCCGACTCTCTTATCCATACAATTGTGCCCTTCGTTCCCCAAAATACAAGCGCACGGAGTACAACACAGACGAGCTAAGTACTCAGACTTGTTTACTGCACACTAGCGCACCGCACACAATACGAGCGCACGCGGTGCGCAAGTACATAATACTGCACTTAAATTTAATATCTGGGGGCTTTTGGACCTTTTGAATGGAATGGAAGTAGTCTGGTGTTCATCCGAGACCTCGATAATATCAAACTGTAGCTCTTTGAAGCACGGTCACAACGTACCCATACTTATGATGATTTGACCATAACAACACAAGCCACAAAATGAACGCTCACTCGAGATTAACCCCGAGCAAGAAGAGAAAGGATGGATTTGCACAAAAGGTCATTTTGGTCATTTTGCACTTATTCGCACCAACGATGAGGGTTGCACACTTATTCACCATACAATTGTGCTCTTTGTTCCCCAAAACACAAGCGAGCGAAGTACTAGATCCTGCTAGTCATATGGTATACCCATGTGCGTATCACAGTCCAATAAAATGGATAGGTGCCATGAGAGGTTGAGGCGCATCATGGCTATGAATTTGATTAGCTAGCCGATCATGGACCTCGTGCCATTGGCAATGGTACAAGCGCCAATGGCACAACACATGACAGAGATTCAAACCAAAAAGAGCTTCATTGATAGCAAAAATTGAGACTTAACCCAACAAGTATGTATGGAAAGTTAAACGATGAAAAGACCCAAAACATGTGCTCCCAAAGTGGCACTCAAGTGCCCTCCATACGCAGTCTTGTGTACTTGTGCACCTATGTACGCAGTCAACTCTGACACGAAACTGAGTATTAAGTGCACCTATGTAACACTTTGTGCACTTGTGTTTTAGGTAACATATAGCGTAATTGTACAACGAATAAGAGTACATACCATTTCTTTACGTTGAAGGCGTATATTATCCCCAGGAGGTTTTCATGCACTAGTTATCTCACTTTCCA